ATTCCTTATGATGCTTCAAACCAAGATGAATAACTCAAAATTATAATCAGACATCGTTATACATAATTATTAAACGAGTGCTCAGTGGCAGAGTTAGAAATATGAGTATATTTTACAACAGAAAATCTCTTCACTGAGATACACAAATTTTGAATTTCTTGATCCACGCAACTGACTACTCTCATTCAATAATGAAAAATACACTTTCTGTAATCGATATAATTCCATGAGGTTATTCTGAAATTCTAACTAAAGCAAAGCTGAGTTATGAGACGATTCAATTCAGAAACGGACTATTTTCAACCATCCCCACAAAAATGATCAAATAATATGATTTAAAACCGCTATATAATGCAACATGACAAAGAAATATGTAATATATATTTGAATCGTTAAGCACTGGACAAACCCACATTCCGACGTGAAATATAGATACCAAATGAAAGTAGTTTCTGAACATTTTGATAATCCGAATACAAATGAACCGAGCATCTGTTTGTCAATGCACCCATTTTGATAGATTAAATGTTTTTTGGCATAAAATTTTGGTTAGTTACATTGATTTACTAGTAAAGAGACGAGTTATCATTTCATAAGGACCTTTATTTCTTAAATAAACCATTCTTTAGTTGACCGAATAAACATTTGACTCTTCTTAATAATGGAACATTACCAATTTTCAAATATAATTCACAGATTTGAAAACTGGATTTAGTACACTAGACGATTGGTTTAAAGACCTCCGGATACCTGATGAAGACCGTGCCAAAGTTAGTAACTTATTGATACTTATCCTAGACTAATTCACATTTTCCCCAAAGATATTAATTTCATTCTTTTAGCACAGACTTTTGATGAGTATCCCCCAATGTTTAATATGGAAATGTTTTATTCGTCAGCAGAAATAAACAAACACTCATGGAGTGACTGGCTATAACGCCGTCTGCATCGCAGTTTAACTTTATCTGAGAAATGACAGAAATGTCTGGCATTTTCAATCAATCATTTTTTCGATTGAAAAAGTTCTTATAGATAAACCTGACAATTGAAAGATCCTCAGGAAATGTAGGGATTTACGGGGCGTCTAATGCACGTAAGCACAAAAACCTAGTTTAAGAATATAAAGCGAAGTTATTGAGTCCGTTTATGAATTGTATGATCCCAACGAAGTGGTTAATCACGATCTTTTGTCACGTACTTGAAAAAGTAGCTTGTTATTTATCAACAGACTAACAACGGTAAATAGAATCCAAGACTACAAACGGACATGATGTCCGAAGATCAGACTGGGAAGTCAGATCTTAAGTGACTAGAAAATAAGTGACCTACAAGTTAGTTTCTTTCAACCATTTAATAGTTTATTATATTTTTCATACAAACACATCATTTTATTACTTGGAAGATTTATTCAATTGACTGGTAATAGTCTTTATTCATATTTCTAATCGTTCAAAAACTTAAGTCAATAAATGATACGGTTTCGTGAGTCACCATCAATTAACCACATAATATCATATCCTATCCATCGATCGACTGGCGTCCTATTCATTGATTTTGATAATTGAAAATCTCGCCCCAGCAAATCACTAAAAACATTCTCCATAACACAAACGTACAACTTTAATAAAACCTCCGACTTGACCTCCCTCCGTGAAACAATCATTAGAAGTATGTCAAGTATCTAAAATACTTAACCACTAATATTGGTGTAGTTTACTTTCAGCCGCTAAATAGGTATGAATTCTAATCATAAAACAGTGACGTTAAAAATTTTGAAGACAAAGAAGATTGGCATTTTCAGCCAATAAAAAGTAATTGCAAATCCCAGATGAAGTAGAGGCAAAAGCATCCTATAACTTCACTGTAATTCTAACAAAAAATGTGTTTCCAATAAATAACGAAATCACTAACATTTATTGTGACATAAGTAAAATAATTAAATCTTTTTCAGCTTCGTCGAAATCACATTGTTGATGAAGAAGACTTCTTAGATGCTATAACGAAAGAAGACTTGTGGAAAATGAATTTAAGGTAGGTTTGGTCATGAATGTTGAAGCATGATTCTAGATGTAGTTAGTTTTAGAATTACAGTTAAAGCAATTCTATTATATCATCGTTGAGAAAACGAGGTTGAGCAGAAAATATAAGGTATATTTGAGCAAGAGATATCATGCAATCTGATCACATATATACTTGTCAAGACACACAGAAACTAACATGATCAGTCAGATGAATGGTCAAATAAGCACAGTGATAAGTGAAAATATAAGAGGAAGATGAGATGGTACACCGCCAAATGCATCAAGGATTATCAGGCTAGATTCGGGATGAGAACAAATGGTACTTGTAAACGTGAAGAAAGTTTAAATTATCTAATATCAACTTGCAAGTAACTAGACGACTTTAACTTCGCAGATCACCTGACCATTCTATCCCATACACACCAACAGATGCAGGTCAAGATAACCAGTGTAGCAGCAGCCTCTGCATCAGTGGGCCTCAACATACACAACGGGAAAACCGAGATCCTCAAATACAACATGGAGAGCACCGACCCAATCACATGATGGAGAGACCCCGGAAGAGGTAGAAACGTTCACGTACCTGGACAGCATCATCCATGAACAAGGAGGATCAGATGCAGAAGTGAAGGTGAGGATTGGCAAGGCAAGGCAAGGACAGTATTTTTAAAGCAATTAGTCCCCTTGATAAACTTCGATAATGTAATAAGAAGACGAAGATTATCAGAATTGTGATATATTGGCGCAGTGCATTTCGAACAATCTGATCACACATATACTTGTTAAGAGCATTTATATATAAAAATAAAATGGCAACTAGACTGGAAATGGGGTAAGTGGAGATAAGGATAATAATAAGAGTAATAATAATGTGAACACAATTGGGAACCTAATCACTCTGGAATTTTGTTCACATTATTATTACTCTTATTATTATCCTTATCTCCACTTACCCCATTTCCAGTCTAGTTGCCATTTTATTTTTATATATAAATGCTCTTAGCAAGTATATGTGTGATCAGATTGTTCGAAATGTATTGCGCTAATATATCACATAATTCTGATCATCTTCGTCTTTTTATTACATTATCGGAAGGACAGTATTCCTACATTTGAAGAACATACAGAACTCAAAACAATTGTCAACAATGTCAAAGTCGGAGTCCTCAATACGAACGTCAAGACAGTTAGTTCTACTGTGTGGAGCTGAAACTTAGAGAACTACCACAACCATCATCAAAAGGGTACAAGGACTCATAAACAATTGTCTACACAATATACTAAATGTCCGTTGGACGGATATCGTCAGCAACAGCCTACTGTGGGAGAGAACAAACCAGCTTCGAGTTGAAGAGGAAATTAGGAAAAGATGTTGGAAGTGGATAGGACATACATTACGGAAATCATCAAACTGCATCACGAGGCAAGCGCTAATTTGAAATCCTGAAGGGAAACGGAAAAGAGGAAGGCCAAAATACACACTGCGTCGGCAAATGGAAGCAGGTATCAAAAGGATGAGTATTAACTAGAAAGGATTGTGCAGAACAGGTTTGGATGGCGAGTGCTGTTGAGCGGCCTATGCTCCTCGACGAGGAGTAACAAAATTAAGTGTAGGAATAACTAGGCTGTCTTTACATGAGTATGAAGAAAGAGACTGAGCTAAGTTAAAATCTAGTATTTATTGAGTTAGGAGAATCTAAAAACTTTGATGGATAATAAATAAACTATTTTACTACTGTAACTAAGTAAATGAAAGCATGATACTATTAAAAAATTTCATATAATCGTGGAATTATTTGCGGTGTGCTCGTGACGAACGGCATTTGAAACACCATTCGGCAAGTAATACAGCATAAGCATGTAAAAGCAAAACAGTACTAACAACAGGCTTTACAAGTGTCCAAATTTAACTGACGGCACTTTTGTTTTCACAATCATTTCAGTGGTGGGACAGTGCTTCGCCTTTGGAGAAACATACAGAAAATCCGTTCAATGGAATAATGTCTTCATGAAAAATTTCATGAACTCTGGTTACAATTCTTCTACAGAGCCTATATTTTTACAAAGAAATTTTATCTCACACCTTGATACTAAAACTTGAAATGTGCCTTTATTTTATAGTAGTATTTTAAAACCCATAATGCTCAAATATCAAAAAAAGTTACACCGGATGCAGCTTAAAATACTGTTTTGATTTTTAATAAATGTCTTATCATTGGTAAACTATGAAACATAATAGAAAGTCTCCCATCAAAGATGTTTTATTTAAGCAGTAAACATATATGATGTTTTATACACTGATATATTTTTAGCATTAACACATGGAAATTTAGTTTATTATTCGATTATGATTTGTTAATTGAATGGAAATATTACTAGAACGATAGCTGTAAACGAACTGCAAATCAGGGAACAAATAGTACAAAACACTAGAAAATAAACATTGAATCATTGTTATACGATGCAGAAATCAAGGGAAAACAACCTGAAACCTAAGAAAATTTCACGTCATTATTGAATATAACAATTCATGGCTATTAAACAGTACGTGTTAACGAGACAGAGTTGTGTAGCGGTTGTATTTCTTCAACATAATCCAAGCCTAAGCTCTGTTCTGAATCAACAGTTTGGTCGACTGTATCATCAGCCACCTAGAAAGAAAAAACAATGAAATATATACACGGTTGAAGACTTTGTATTGGGGTGAGATGGGATAATTCAGCAAAACAATAGGCATAGACTGATGACCAATATCAAACAATAATAAACATGAAAAATGAATTCGACACATCAACTATTCCTATAAAAAAGACACGAATAGGGTTAGTCTCTTGCTATCGAGAGAAGCATGATAATTTTCAGACATGGCCAATTTACCTGCAAATCTCAATTCATCTGTTAAGGTCGAAAAGTTGAATAGTCAGTTTATTCTTTAGAATTAGTATATTACTGCTCCTAGTGGAGAAAATTTGTAGTTCAGGTGGATGATTTTGATGGAGTTTTATTCTCTGAGCTGGACGGTTTGGTCGTGAAGCTTCCAACCAAAACAAAGAAGTAAACAATGATAAATTTAAGGTCCATAGGAACCTATCAACATCTAGGTGTACAGAACAAGCTGTGAAACCCATATGGATAAATTCGAACACTTCACTTCTATCTGAAGTTTGTGCTGATGTCGTTCAGAAGAACGATGAAAGCTCCACGACCAAACCGTCCAGCCCAGAGAACAAAACTCCATCAAAATATTACTGCTCCACAATAAGTTTTAAGATTCAAACAATCAAATCATCTTTAGGACTTACTGTAAACATCCGCCCGCTATACAGTCAGAGACAAACCACATTCATGACCAACCGGCCAGATATTATTACTTCATTAGGTTCCGGTACACAGGTATGACACTATCCTTGACCTAGGGTATACATTCGAGATTCAGGCCAACACACACATCAAACACGATTCGGTGATTCAGAATCGATGTTGCAACATAACATCCAATTACAAGAATAGAATCTATCGAACCCATAGGAAACATTTGTCATATCAGACAAGCAAAAATTTACGAAAACGCTAAAGATTCTACGTTTAGTTAAAAATCCGGCAAGAGAATCCAGTGAAATAAAGCGTTGGCACTAGATGAACTTTTTTTAGGCACATTTAATAGGTATCACCCATGATTACTGTAATTTCACCAAAGCTACCATTCTAATACATTCTTTTATCAGGCTTTACATTAAAGGGAACCAATATTACTTTATACTTGATCCTGCACTGTTCCAGATGGATTGATAAATGCAAACTGTAAATGTTAGACACAGAAACAGTGTTTTATGTTCAAAATGTCCTTAATTTGGATTTTCACTAAGATTCTGCCAGTCTGTTAACTGTATAATTGAATTGGGTCAAAAATGTGGAACTGATCTATAACAAATACGTGACGATACTTCACTGATGACAACCACATGAACTCCAGAGGACAAGAGTTTCAAAACAGATATTACACTTCAAGAAAATATAATTATATGCATAAACATCACAGTATTGTTGTAACGGGTGTGACTGCAGGTTATGCTAGGCAGCGTTATTATCGATCGCTTCTGTGACAGTGACACGTAAGGACGACCTAGTGCCCTGATTGGTCTCGCCTCCCTGTCTAGCCCCAGCCAGTTGAGTCAAGAACACAAATCACTGCCTCTGAGTTATGAATCATTGTATTTCAAACATACTCTATTTATATACCAAGCAAACAAACCACATCGTACCATAAAATAGGAAACAACATTTGTACAATATTTAACAAGTGAAGTAAACATCGACCAATAAGAAATGTACATTTAAGGTCCAAGGCCACCGTAGACTTAACACAATAATTATTGGTATATTTTTCCAACTATCCTAACAAGTATATATGGTATTGTACAATAGAAAGCGACCAAATATAATAAGTTTGAATTACGTGACGTTGCCAAAACACAAGGTTCACAATAATATCGAGGTATGGAAAGCTTACGGTAATAGATACTGTTATAGCAACACCAAAAGGTGTTGACCCTAATAGATTCTCTACTAGTCAACAGGTATGAATGTGAAGGGTATTCCAGGATATACACCAGAAAGGTATTGCATAACCACAACCACCCTCAATAAAATATCGTAAATACGTCTACCAGTTTGAAATGTTAAGTTGAAAAGTCTCCCAACACGGAAAGATAGGGATATACGCCATCGCCTCTTCGTCATATCTGCCTGTGCTCCCACTAACTACAGTCCGGATAAAGTAACAGATAGGTTTTATAGAAAGCTTTCTGCTCTCCTAAAAAACCAAACTATCAGGCGTAGTGATAACAGCAGGAGACTTTAGCGCCAAAGCACTTGGTTTAAATCGAAGTGAAAGACGCTTACGTGGGTTTCACAGTGTCGCAGCTCAGCGAATAGGCAACGACGATCGGCTGCTGTAACTATGTTCAGACAACCATTTATTCCTATTAAGCACCATCTTTAAGCATTAAGAGACATTGTCAGCCATGGAGACCCCCGCAGTCGACTCGGCGATAGACGTAAATAGACCATATCGCCATCAGCCATTGTCGGAAAGGCTCGATAGAAGACCGCCACTCATTCTGAAGAATATGTCTAGATCATGCTCTGATACTGACACATGTTTGTTTGTGACAGACTGAATGCAGAAAAACCATAGCAAGAAAACTCCTTCAAGTTCAACTTAACGACGAAAATGTCAAAAGAATATTTCATAAACAAATGGGGAAGCAGTTGGGTGATCGCCAAAGTGACCTATGTTCACCTTGATGTGGGTTGGGATGATATCCAGACAGCTGTTAAAATATCAGTGATATCTGTGGGTGACTATAACCAAAAGATTAAGGAAAATCAGTGGATTTTAGTATCATCTACTTAAATGACAGATGCTCAAAAACTCATCCCATTAGGCTTCGAATATGATGTGGAGCAAAGACAACTCAGAGTTTACGCAATGATCGTGAACAGTGGTGCGAGGATAAGGCAAAAGCGACAGGAAAGACGGTGGCGATATGCATCAGTTGATAACTTTTAAGATATTAAAGAAACAGGTATTAAATATTCGGGAGTCACCAGGACTATTTCTGAAAAAGATGAAACAATGATTCACTATCAACCCTGGGGACTGCGACGATGGGTAGGAGAAGTTTAACTGCTTTACATTCACCCTTCAGTTACCTGCTTTTACCAAGCAACCTAACTGGAATGTCAACATAAGCCTCCAACTCTCAAAGAAGTGGAGAAATTCAAAACTAATCTAAAAGAGACAGCAGCAGGCCCTGATGGATTAGCCCCTGAGATTTCTAAGTATGGTGGCCCAGTTTCAGCAGTTAGATTGACTGAGTCCTTAGCTAGAATCTGGAGAATGAACTTAATCTCATATAACTGGTCTCAGTCGCCTATCGTCCCAGTCTATAAGAAAGGACAAAAATCCTCTAGTGACAATCACAGAAGAATCAGTTTGGTTAATACAGTGCCTAAAATATTACCCTCAACAATACTTTGACGGCTATCTAGAGCCCGTAAAGAGCGAACTCGAGAAAACCAGGTTAGTTTTAGACCTGGACATAGATGTATGGGGCAAATATCCGCGCTTGCCCAGGTTCCGGTGCACGAACATACCCACCGACTCGCAACCATAGCTACATTTCTCAACATTAAGGCAGCATTTGATTTTGTAAACCGAGAGATTTCATGACAGTGTCTGACATTGAAATATGTACCATAGAAGTAAATCACCTTGTACAGGCTCTCTATTCGAACACTACTGGTCGAATAAGAGTTGTCATCAGAATTTATTACTGGAAATGTTCTTCCGGGTTATCTTTTTTCCTCATTTTTGTCTTCGTCACAGAAATGCTTTTAGAAGTACCTCTCTCGTCGTCTAACTTTTAGGGGTTGATATACCAGGAAATTAACTTGTTGACCTATAACACGTAGGTAATATAGTTCTATTTGATGAAGACACTGACAAAATGCAGTCTTCTGACCACCTTAAGCAACAATGCAACCATAATTAGGATGAGGTCCTCTCTCTGTCCAAATGTAAGATGTTACTTCAGGATTATTTATTTATTTGAACACATAAATATTGATAAAAGGAGGCACTATATATATATATATATATATATATATATATATATATATATATATATTCATTCCCAAGTCACAGGCCGAGTTTAGTGCCCAGCAATCTGCCCTGTTCTACTTTATGGGAGTCTGAACCACTGCTCATGTATTTTAGGACCATCAAGTTAGCCATCCAGAAGCTAGATGGAATACAAGATAAGGATGGCTAATTTATTGAGGGGGTAGTGAATTTTTATCGACTAAGATGGTCAAGATATCTGCTACGTATACCCAACAACCGAATACCTCGATGGGAAATGGTGGTTGATGTAGAAGGTTGGAAAGAAAAGTTGGGATGGCCAAACCAAGACATGGAATCAGTTCATGAAGACACTGACTATTGGACAGGTTAGTCAGCCATATGACGAGACTGAAATTCAACAACTGCTATACACTTAGACGTCTGTGATTGTATCAGAACAGAGAAATTACCTAAGCTGATAAGTGGTGTTATTCAGGAATGTCTAATCTTGTACTCATGACAGCTGTCACAAATTTTCCATAGAAATACAGCTTTCTGTTTCGCAATTCTCATAGATTGTGAAATTACTAAGATATAATCTGACAAAGTTTCGCTAATTTGCACTACTGTACCAGGTTTAGAGAGGCAATTTAATCACTTATTTTATCTGGATGGCTACCATGGCGCAAACATAACCGAAATAAATGGTATTAGTAAATTTATGTTGATTTTATTTTTAAAGTTGCATCATTAAGTCTAATAGAAGGAACTACATTACAAAACTCAATGGAAATTTACCGCATATAACGTGTTTATTTAAAAGTGGCTGACGATTAGAGAACAAACAGTTGGACTACAAACATATTCACTGTTTCCCAATTGACGAGTAAGCAACTTTCAGTTCAGGTGGTAATTAGTTATGAATCAGCAGTGACATTTATATTGCTTGGTTGGCTACAGTTTAAACGAACATGATGTTAGATAATTAGTTATTTAATTCGTTAGGATCCGTATAACACTTAAAACCGTTATGAGCTGACTACGTGAATCAGTCAAATATTTTCACGGTGGCGTAAGTACACTTTATATGCTTTATATTTGAAAATTATCATTCCACAACAATTTTTTATAAGGATGGATGAATTCGTGGAGATTGTAGAATTTTCATAGTTTGAATTACGAACTGACCTTAGGTAGACCACCATTTAAAGTCTGGAAGCACTGGACGGCCATTTCGTCCTAGTGTGAAGTTCCTCAACAGTACGAATCCACAACTTCGCATTGAGGAATCTAAGCGTTGGATACCGAATGTGATCTAGAGGTTAAGCGTTCTCATGACAGACAAATGTCCTATGGTAGTGAATGCGCACTACTGAAGAGTTCCAGACTAGAAAGAAACGGCTGTCCGGTGCTCCCAGGCTCCAAATAGTTGTTTAACTAAGATTAGTTCGTCACTTAAACTATGAAAATCACTTTCTACCTTATTAGTATACATCATCATGTTTAAAAGTACTAATCTTTTGGTACTCTAGATGAGCTTTTCTTTTGTTTTGTCAGTGTGATAAAAATGAAATAATATATTACCACTTCATGTCTAACAGTATCAAGTTTTTATCTAACTTGTTGTTCTGTGATATGTATGTGTACACCCACCAACCACTGCATAACAATAGTTATGACGGTGAACCATTACCCTCATTAGAACAAAATAACCCTCTTTGTGGATGTATTTAGAGCTAAAAAGTCCGTTTCGATGCACTAATCGCTTAACCAACTGGGGTAATCCATTAGCTGGGTTTTTATTAACTGTTCTAATCACTTTGGTAATTCATGACACTTTAATATATCAGGTGTAAATGGTGGAAAATATAACCGTTTTCCTTCTGCATACTTTTGTGGTCCCTTATTTTTATTACCAATGGTAATAAGCCTCCCTTTAATCTCATTTGAAGTACTGTTTCAATAAGTCTGAGAGATTGTGTTGCTAAAGTAGTACGTCAAAACTGCTGTTTTTGCCTATTACAAACCAAGATATCCATTTCCCAGTACTACAGAGTGATACCATTAAGACGTGACCTGAGTAACGGAATACAGGTTCGAGTAATATTCTTTGAATTACACTGCAAGTGGGGTAGACATATCACCTAACAGCTTTAATAAAGTAGAGATCCTATAGCTTCGAGTCTAATTTTTAGACTTAAGAGCTAAAGTTCTAAAGTATGCAGAATGGCCTTAAACCCGCACCATAGTCATAATGGACAAAGTGGATAAAGTAAGTGGTAGCTCTAGTGACAGAGAACGACTTACATTTTAGGATAGTAAGTAAAATTTAACTACTGACTTTCAAATAAAATCACTTACTGACTCTTCGGCTCTTAACACTTCTTCAATATCATCATCATCATCATCAACATCTGATTTGTCGTCATTTAAAGACGACTGTTTTTTCACTGGTGCAAACACTCTGACTATGGATGGTGAACTCCCTCCTGAATTCGCCCTTCCGGGGGATTCGACCTTCGCAACATTATTCAAAGCTGGAGAATTCGGTGTTAAAGGTCGCGGAGAATCTGTAGACCCAATTACAGACGTACGCATTTGCGTTCTGCTGCTGTGATTAGTGACTATTTCTTGAAGGCGAGTTTCCTGGGAAGTGTTTATAGTTTCTTTAACTTTTGACGAACCATTAACGTCGCGATTTGGAGTGTTGAGTGTTTCATCTGATACCTGGGATCCAAAACTAGTAAAATCAAATAAAACAAAATTAATCTAAATTTTAATTAAAACAAAACATACGTTATAAACTAGGAATATTTCATACACGCCGATATAACTAAAATAGTCAACTAGTTTATCTATTTGGTAAACAATCTAATACAGTATTCTGTATGCGGTAGGACTATGTTATTTAATATGAGACTTATTCGAAACCTGTTCAATCAATCTGCACTAGTAAAAGTCAAAAAGTATTTCAAGGGTGAACATAATAAATGAAGGTGAAAGCCTAATACACAGGCATATACATGATTAGTACGTTAGATACTATAAATATTTTATACTATATAGTTAATTAACCTCAGTAGAATCCAGTTCAAACAGTGTGAGAGATTCTTACCATTTCTATTATAAATATCACTTTTAAATATAATATGTTTGCAACAGTCTTTTTCATTGATTTACCACTGGCAATGAAAAAAGTTTCTTCTTAATACGCTAGAATGTGAAGTAGCTTTGTAGTGAGATGTCTCATTTCTAAGTTTTCAAACACCAATTGGTTTATAAATAAAATAATGTATTTGTAACATCCCAATGATTAGAAAAATTAGATTTCCTGACGTTTCGTGACTCAGCGTAAGTTACTTCTTCAGAGAATAAATAACCAAATCACACTGACCAAAAAGTACTACACACCATATTACATAAATATTTTAGATATGTTGAACTGAAGTATGACCGTTGAGCTTAAGTACTTTATCATCATTTTTGAGGTTACAGGTCTGTAAGAATTTTTACCAGTAGAATCTGACATCACACACTCCAAGAGATAGGAAGTGAAACCCAATATGCAAACATTTATGTTTACGACTTTCAAAATAGAGACATGAAAATGAATAAAACAACAAAGACTGAGAGAAGGGACTGTGTAGTAGAGAAACTTGTGATAAATTCAAAACATTCTATTCTTCGCTTTAAGCTGTGGTGATGAACATGTATCTTTTGAACTTGAAGAAAACAAAATCCTTAATTAAACTCAGACTGAACGAAGAGGAAGTCCTGACTTATGGACGTTAGGTGGTGTTTGATTAATCAAACTCAGACTCCCAAAAACCTATACTACATACAGCAGCTGCACAGCACAACACATTCAAGCCAAACTTATATTACATATTAATGGTTATCCGTTACGATATGTCTTCTGAAATATAACTCGACGGTAAAAATTAAGTACAAATGATTAATTACTTTTAATTCAGCTAAGTACTATTTTATTAGGATAAACGATCAAATAGTAACAGCTTTGAATAATCCATACAAGCATATAAGCAAAGCACAAAAACTAAAACAATCATGCTACCATGAAGGCATGAAGCAACCGCGGACGTGTAAAATAGCAAGGAATAGAAAAAGGCTTATTGAAGCACGTACATGCAGAAGATTGAAAACATGATATAAACAGTTAAAACTGACAGTTAATTGAATCTAGTCAACACAATTACTGGATATACTCATTATACAAACTGATAACACTAAATATTGCAAAGCCTTCTGTGAATCTAGCAGTTCATACTCTAAGGATATTGAGAATTTAGCATTATTGCAGTCCTACGTAAAGATATATTGGTTCATTAAAAATATTTTAGTCAGAAGACTTTGAGGAATACTGTTAACAAACCATAGATGAAAATACATGAAAATCTCATATGACCTCTAAACCTTATCTACAGTAAAAAAAAAAATCTCACAAACTTTTCAGGCAGAAAGGTATTTATGCATGTAACTTTCAGGTAGAATTATGCGTGCAGGAAATAGTGCTTTCACAATGGAAAAAGAAAGATTAACGTAATAAAACTAGGTTAAGCAGGAATAGGATGGGATTATTAAATGCTACAATGTAATGCATTTCGTATAGAAACGAAACAAGCACTTGTTCATAATAATGATAATACCTCGTTTTACGACTCTGTAAGACAGGTATTCTGCTTGACCTAAAATAAGAAACAAACAAAGTTTATATGAACGGAAAAAAATTACCGGCACCAAAAATTACCAATAATACAGTTCCCTGAGAACTTACTTATTACGTGAATTGTTTGATGCTGAAGTAGATGAATCTGAAAGCAGGAACAAGAAGACAATAAAAGAAACGAAACAAACACTAAAAACGTCAACAGTAGTAGAATTTTTACTCAAAAGGAAGAGGTTAGTCACAAGTTAGTGCATATGACTTGACGCTTAAAGTAGAAAACTCATTTGGCAAGTGCAATCTCTTAACGTTAACTGATCTGTTTATTGACGGTTTCATTTACATTTTACTTCAGTAAAAGTCACACCATTAAGAATCAGTTTGGCTATTAATCTTCACACTTACTGGTTAAATATTATTCTAAATGTATATTACCACTATTTGTCCTCACAAACAGGTAGTTTCGACTAGGGTAAGCACCAGTAGGTTAAGTCGTACAGTCGATAATACTAAGGTGTGCAGACAGTTTTCACGGGTAACAAGCATCTCACTTTGTCGTCGACGTACTTTTAGAGATAACACTTTCCTCGTCTAGAGTTCCAAGGGTTGAACTTCTACCGGGAGATTCACTTGTTGACTTAGAACATGCTGATTACATAGTTTTATTTGGTGAAGACGCTGACAAAATGCAGTCTTCTGACCACTCTAAGCAACAATGCAAGCATGTTCGGGATGCGATTTTCTCCCTCGAAATGCAAAATGTTGCTTCAGGATTGGGTTACATCGACACCCGAACTAGTGATAGGGAGTGAAGTAGTTGAGTGTGTCGACCGCTTCACTTATCTTGGAAGTCTCATCAGCTCTTGTGGTTTAGTGTGTGACGAAATCTCAGCACGGATACAGAAGGCTCGACTAGCTTTTACAAACTTGCGTCATTTATGGCGTAGGCGGAATATCCGTCTATCAACCAAAGGACGGGTTTACTGCGCAGCAGTTCGTTCCGTCGTACTTTATGGCAGTGAAACATGGCCGGTAAGAGTAGAGGATATTCGTAGGCTACTAGTATTTGATCATAGGTGTCTTCGAAACATTGCTCGTATATCCTGGGACCATCGGGTAAGTAATGCAGTTGTTAGGAAACGGGTACTAGGTAAGGATGGCAAATCAATTGATGAAGTAGTGAAACTTCATCAGTTGAGATGGCTGGGACACGTGTTACGTATGCCCAACCACCGACTGCCTCGACGTGCTATGTTCAGTGGTATAGGAGTAGGTTGGAAGAAAGCTAGAGGCGGCCAAACCAAAACATGGCACAAGTCCATGAAGTCACTGACAAGTGGACTGAGTCATGTTGGTAGGTGTAGACTACCTGGTTGGGGACCGCGAGATGATAGCAACCGATGGTTAGAGACCTTAAATGACATGGCTCAAAATCGTTTGCAATGGCGCAGGTGCATCCGCTCTTTGTGTTCTCCCGAATTCTAAACTCCTGAATCCTCATTGTCTCATTGTTCTCTTCCCGAACTTACTTCACTGGATTATACTCCTTGAATAACATCTTCAGACCCTAATGTTTCTGATTACAGCTTATAATTTTACTACATCTAGCATTACGGGATTTGAATCGACCACTGCATCTGTGTGCTAATGTGGTGTGGCAACTCGAACTGATGTACGTACGTACGAAGTTCTACGTTGTTACTGACTGACTGACATGCTCCTTTACCATAGATGGATGGAGTGGTTAGAAAGGGTAGTCTTTTAAAATAGCAAACAATGCTTTTCCAACGATAAATTACGATGAACAAACAACAAGGACAACTCACTGACTGACTGACTCACAAAAACGTCGTGTGACTGGTACCAAACAGTTTCCCACTTCACATTTATGGTATCACTATGTGCTCTTTATTCCCGGTTTTTACTTGATTAGAACCTTTTACTTTCGGTTATTAAACGCAATAATTGCTATCATTCCTATGCTATTGACTTGTTCTGTAAAACAGGGTATGGGTGATCACGTAGGTATTCCCTAGTGAAGGTGTGTGCAAAAGAGTGCACATCAATAAGGCGAGAATTAATAAGAGCCAGCACTAAAAGGATAATCTAATGGTGTAACGTAGATATTATTTACACAGATGCCTTAGAAATATTGCTCGCATCTGCTGGGATCACCGCGTAAGTAATAGTGAGGTTAGACGCAGGGTATTAGGGAATGATGGTAAATCAGTTGCTGAGGTTATCAATCTTCATCGACTGAGATGGTTGGGCCACGTGTTACGTATGCCTGAACACCGATTACCACGACGTGCAATGCTAACCGGTGTTCGGGATGGTTGGAAGGAAGTTAGGGACGGCCAAACCAAAACGTGGCATCAGTGCTTGAAGTCACTAACTTCTAGTCTGAGCCATGTTGGTAGATGCAGACTACTTGGTTGGGGTCCGCGTGACTATCATAACCAGTGGTTGTAGACTCTTGGTGACATGGCTCAGAATCGATCACAATGGCGTCGGTGTATACACTCTATAACTAAGAGATTAAAATCGCTTCATATCTTCCTTTCAACGAACTAATTCTTTCTTCCTGTACTATATCCTTATTGCAATCTTTCTTTTATGTATTACCATCTCTGAATTAACTACTTTTATGAATCCGGTGTCCATCTTGTTGTGTTAATGAGGTATGGCAACTTGGACCGATGCATATATGTGCCTGGTCCTACGTTGTAGCTGACTGACTGACTAACTGATAAACTTTTACAACAGACTAATACGCTTAAACATGTAAATTCAAGTTTAATGTACGTAAGGAAATTGGGAAAAGCTTGCGTAAGGACCGAGAAGCCTGGTGGTCGAAGCGTGCTAATGAGCTGGAAGCAGCAGCTGCATCTGGTAACTACCGGAAGCTCTTCCAGCTCATCCGAGCCACTGGCAGCAAGAAGTCTGGTGTGAGCGAAACAATCTGCGAGGATGATGGGATGCCAATCACTAACATCCATCGACGTCTTGGACGGTGGGCAGAATTTTTCGAAGGGCAGTTCAACTGGTCTGCTGCTCCGGCAACATCGGTCAGACTGTCCTGCCCTCCATGGCCGGTGACGACTGATCCACCAAACGAGGAGGAAGTCCGCAAGGAACTCCAACTCTTGAAGCGTTACAAATCACCTGGTCCGGATGACTTACCTCCAGCTCTTTTTAAAGATGGTGGTGACTTTTTGACTAAGGAATTGACGACGTTGTTTACAAAGGTTTGGGAACTAGAGAGTGTACCAACGTCATGGAATGAGTCGATAGTTGTCCCTATCTTTAAAAAGGGTTCACATCGTTCCTGTAACAACTGTCGGGGGATAAGTCTACTTCCGATTGCGTCCAAGCTATTGGCTTCCATCATACTTCGTAGGTTGTTCAAAACCCGAGAAAGATTGACTCGCGAGGAGCAGGCTGGGTTTCGTTCTGGTCGACGATGTATTGATCATATCTTCACCCTTCGCCAAATGTTAGAACATCGCCATACTTATCACAGGCCAACAATCGTAGTGTTTCTTGATATCAGGGCTGCCTTCGATTCGTTGGACAGGACTGTTCTCTGGGATTGTCTATTGAAGAAGGGTGTGCCTGAGAAGTTTATTAACATCCTAAAAGCCCTATATAAAAACACCTTAGGCAGAGTGAATGCATACAACCACCTCTCTCCATTGTTCCATTCGAACAGTGGGGTTAGACAGGGTTGCCCAATCTCACCATTCCTCTTCAACTTGGCCATCGATGACATTCTGGAAACAGCTCCGATGAATGTAAGTAATGGTGGTGTGGATCTGTTGCCTGGAGAAAGACTTCTCGACCTTGAGTATGCGGACGATATTGTCTTACTCTGCGATAATGCCCAAGCCATGCAATCCGCACTTAATCAGTTGGCAATCAGTGTCCGTAGATATGGTATGTGCTTTGCACCTTCGAAGTGCAAAGTACTCCTACAAGACTGGCAGGATTCTAATCCTGTACTCACACTGGATGGTGAGCAGATAGACGTAGTCGAGAAGTTCGTGTATCTGGGTAGCTGCATAAGTGCTGGTGGGGGTGTGAGTGATGAGATCAATGCACGAATAGTGAAAGCCAGAGCGGCTTATGTCAATCTGGGCCATCTTTGGCGCCTTCGTGATGTTAGTCTGGCTGTAAAAGGTCGGATCTACAACGCGTCGGTGAGAGCAGTTTTGCTCTATGCTTGTGAAACCTGGCCTCTCCGAGTTGAGGACGTTAGACGACTCTCTGTGTTCGATCATCGCTGTCTCCGAAGGATTGCTGACATTCAGTGGCAACACCATGTCAGTAATGGAGAGGTTCGGCATCGTGTGTTCGGGCACAGAGATGATAATTCAATTGGTGTCACCGTCTTGAAACACCGACTTCGGTGGCTTAGACATGTTCTCCGATTGTCGTCCCAGAGAATTCCACGTCGTGCATTATTTGCCGACTCTGAGACTGGTTGGGAGAAGCGGAGAGGTGGTCAGTGCATGACATAGTGTCGTGGCATGAAAGAAAGCTGCAAAGGACTGGCTTGTGTTGATCCTTCACGACTCCCTGGTTGGGGTCTGAGAGATGGTGCTACACAGTGGCTAGAGACGTTATCAGATATGGCTCAGAATAGAAGCCAGTGGCGATCCTGCTGTAACCTTCTTTTACTTTCCTCATAAAAAGTGGTTCTGTCTCGCTTACCTGAAAGATTTCTTCCGATTGTACCTTTGCGTTCCCTGTTTACTAGCACATTACCTTACACCAATCTCTTCGTTATTGTTCTCTCCTTTTTTTTCTTTGTATTCCTCTCGAATTTTCAGTGTTTTGTGTGGCGCATATATATTGGCGCTCTCTTGTACCAATATTCATGTGTGTCCATGTAAATAGTCAAGTATTGCTGTTACCTTCTGTTACCTTTTGACATGCTGTTATTACACCACTAGGATGGATTGTCCAATTTTCAATCCATTTATTCTGTTCCTGTTTTAGACCGTCAATGAAAATACCGTAGCCACTATATGATGTATCATTTCGCTCGGTGAAAATGTCGGTACTTTATCCTGCTGATTATTCGCGTATTTAACTTAATTTTACATGGACAATTGCACACTATTAACCTAGTCTACTATATGATATTACGCAGTCTTGACATGCTGTTTTGATGATTAATTTTACGCGAGTACCTCCAATTAATCGTCATATTTCTATACACCCTTATTAGAATACATCAGTTCAATCAAGATGTACAATGGAACTTCTCGTAAAGGAACTACAAGGGAATGCCACGATGAAACCGTAACAAGTAAGGTGCCGTAATAAATTAGTCTATCTTACGAATCTATCGCATGAAATAAACGATGTTTACGCGTACATTTTCTTACCCGTTTCATCCATTTTCTGGCTCCGGAGATGTCTAAGTGTTTCAATCAAGTTCAGCAGCACTGGAGAGCTGCTTGGACTGCGTTCAGTAGGTAGAACGGCCATCAACTTATCTCGGTCAAAAAGTTCTAGATGTTTCTACAAGCTAAATATCATAAACAACACCAAACCATTTGCGCTTCGTCCATTAGGACATTTAACGTATTTTCAAGTTTCATCATATTCATAAAATCCACCAATAGGGACGCAATGATCAAGCCTTGCTAAAAATGAGTGAGATATGGAGTGGGTATACTATACCATCTTCTGTAGACCATAAGGACCGAATGGACTGATTTGAAAGCGGTATTCCTTCGGCATAGTTGTGCTTTTCCAGAGCTAGGTACACTGCTGCCTTTAGTTGAGCCTAGTAACGAAACGTTATCAACATTACACAGGTACTTCAAGCTTTGGTAAAATACCCTCTTCGTTTAGGGACCTGATGAGAGCCTCCTTCAAATTGATTTCTTCATCTCCCATCTTATCAAGAGCATACATGAGAAACAAAATATCTGAGGTGATTTCGTATCGCGTCCACAAGTAATTTGCTTAGAGGTGAGCAATCTAGAAGGCAAAACACGGAAGCCATTGTTAAGTAAAGCTTAACTAGTCAACTGAAATACATATATTTGGTGCATGAAAATGCTTCTCATTTGATTCCATAAGTGTTATGTAATTTACTGGATGGAATGAAAGTTCAGTCCTGACAAACTGAAACGGTAACGTGACCATTTGAGAAGAGTGATCATCAAATAATTGAGGTTCAAACCACACAACCACATATAACAAGTTTTAGACGGAGCAGCTTTTAATCAATTCGAAAAAAATATGAGCACGTGATCAGTTGAGTACTAAACACATCGTTCTTTCGAAAGCTCCAGCGAAACGCTATGTAGAGATGGATGTTTAAAAACTTTTATACAGAAAGATATCACTTAACTCTGAGCACAGTCCTTCGAGTTTATTTCATAACCACGCATCGTGAACTGACATCTTCCGAACAAAGTGTTGAAATTCCCAATTACTGACACACAGTAAACTTATGACGACCATTAAGAACCGAAGGAAATTTACCAAATTTGTAAATGCTTACAGTCAAAGGGACAGGCCAACTTAGCAAACGACAACGCTCAACCTATTTATTCGTTGTGAAGGTCAACAAGGAGAAGATGCATGGCGCCGTCTCGAATTTCAAAAGACAGACGGTTCATTAACTTACATTAATCCTTGGGATTCGTACTGCGCTGAAGATTCAATCAAACTTAACGTACGAGTAGAAAGGGGACGGTTTTACTTATTTTAATAGTGTTTAACTGTTCACCGCGCGCTGTTCAAAAGGAACAGTGATATTTTTCCTCTGAGTAATTTTTATAGTACTGATCGTTAAATTAGGCATGAAGACTACTGTTTTTGCTTTAATTGAATCTTTCGGTCGAAGTAATTCTCAAGAGTGCCGCTTTTTCTCTAGTTCAGCTTGTCATTTGTACTCAACGAGTACAGATACATAATATACGAAAGGCACTGGTACTCATTCTTCGTCGCTGAATATATCTTTGAGCATTATTTGTATCCATAGGCGTGAAGGTCTTTCTGTTACTACTGAGGTCCAATTTTTTACTGTTTTTTTAATTTTATTTATATATAAACATAAAACAAATCTATGGCGCAATTGAAACGTCATTGTGGTAGACCAGCATGCTATTTCCCGGTCGATGAGGGGATGAAATGTGATAACGTCGATAAGTGGTATCAAAATGTGTGCACCGGACTCACACCGGCTGCATGTAAATGGTGCTGTAAGCCATTACCAGGTTGGTTGTGTGAAGAATGTTGTTCTACTATTTCTCTACTGATTCTAGAGGCGGTCGAGCTGCTAAACATAGCTAGGAAGTTGGTAAACAGGCAGCAGTAGATGAACAGAACCCTGTTTTCGAGGAAATATAGAGTGTTATTATGAGCCCAGCTTTAGGTGGACCTCCTCAAGGAAGCAGAGGAGCTTATGGATGTAGGCATTGTTACAAGGAGAAAGAAGGAGCTCACAGTCACGTCAAGGAAAATAAAAGTAAGAAAACAGAATAAAGTCTCTGCGTTTGACGCTGAATTAAAATCAGATTGCAAGGAAGAGACGGCTTCAGGAAATAAAATTAGACACTGTGTCAAGACGGACCTCGCTAAGTGGTCACTAATTTTTCATAAGTTAAGAGAATCTTCCGATAAGGAACCAAAGGCTAGATTTGAACACGATCTCAGTCATATTAAGTCCTTAATAAGCAAGCTATTCCCAGAAGCAGTTTCAAATGCCAGTATCTGTAAGCTTTATAGAATAGGACAAAAGTGGATTCTGAAACTGGATTAATCCGGAATATACGTCCGTGAGGATCTCAGCCTAGCTGATAGTATTAAGAGACGGGCTACAGAAGCGGAAATAAATGAGCGTCGCCGAAATGGTGAAATCAACCTTTTTCCTAAGGGTTTTCAAATTGTCAAAGATCGGAGCAAAACGATCCCCGAACCACTCTGGGTGGTAGGGGAAAGTTCTCCACAGACTTAAAGGTATGCTACACAAATCCTCGCAGCCTACTAAATAAACAGGTGGAGCTCAAGACAATGATGGATAAAGGTAAACCAGATGTTATTCCTGCCTCAGAAACATGATTAACGTCAAAAGTATTAGACAATGAAATTCAGTTGACTGGTTTTTTATCCAGTAGGGCTGATAGATTAAACCGTAGGGGAGGCGGTGTTATCCTGTACACGCAAGGCACCCTAACCATACGAACAGTTGCGACAGTGGCACATGATTCAAGAACATGTGAGCCGGTGCGATGCAAGCTGAAATTTAGACAGCAAGATATTGAATTAATTGTAGTATATCGCGGTCCAGAATGCGCAGTGGATGATTTCCTACTAAGCAAACATAAGTCCTGATGTAAGAGGGATAAAAGCCTTATAGTAGGCGATTTTAATGCACCATATATAAACTGGGTTAATTTAGAGGTCAGGTCATCGATAACGTCATTCTATTCCAAACTGTTAAAAACCTCGATTGCATTAGTTTCATTCCGAAACATTAGAAATCCCACAAGAAATGACTCAAGAAGTTCCTCTTCTTTTTTGGATTCAGTCTTCTTACACCGTGATGACGTCGGTCAAATGACTTTTCTCCTACCATTCGGAAGAAGTGACCATGCAGTCATATTATTCAAATTCATGGCTGAGATTGCCTGTCAAAGTGTTGCGCCGGCACGTCCCATTATATGGAAAGCAGATATGGAGGCAATCAACTCCTCAGCATCGGATGAAAACTGAGAAATTGACTCAAGGGCTTCAGTACAAGAGGCATGGACTTATTGCAGGCAGTTGTACAATCGGGTAACTCAACCATACATACCCTGGATAGTTCCAAAGAAGAAGCACGCCCATACCTGGATAGGCCGTGATATTCGACGTTTACTAAGACAAAAGAAGAAATGTTGGGATGCTGCCATCCGCTTCGGCACACTAAGTACAATGGAACGTTGCAGACCGGTGTATAATTAAAGCGTATAATTAAAGTTCGAGAAGCTCAAAAAAAAACATGAAATGCAGTCGGCACAATCTGCACTCAAGCAGCCTAAGAGGATATATTCGTACACAAACTACAGGACAAGGGTGCATCATTGGATTCTCAACCTAATTAAAGAAGGGAGTGAATCTAAAATGATAGAGGAAAATCAGGAAAAAGAAGAGGCTATTACAAACTATTTTGGGCAGCTTTCACTCAGCAACCTCCTCGAGAGAAAGAACAAGACCAAAATAAACAGTCAACAAACCACCTGCTCACCGTGGACTTCCACCAAAACGATGTGCTTAAGGCTCTTAGCACTTTAAACATGAAGAAGTCAACAGGACCAGATGAACTACACCCCCAAAATCTTGAGACATATTGCGCAATATACCGCAGCCCCGATGAATGTGATATTCAACATGTCACTTGACCAAGGTGTGTTACCTATGGACTGGAAGGACGCAACCGTCACTCCCATACATAAAACAGGGCCAAAACAACTTCCATCGAACTGCATACTCGTAAGCCTCACCAGTTTTGTAGTTAAAATATTGTAAAGAATAGCCAAAAAGACCATAATGACATTTGTAGAGAACAATAACCCGTTAAAAAGCGATCATGGTTTTAGAAAGGGTTTGTCTTGTACAACGAACCTCCTTATAGCAAGGGAATATTGAATAAAGGTGCCAGACAACGGAAACGCAATGAATATTTTCTACATAGACTTCAGTAAGGCTTCTGAAAAAGTGCCAACTTAAAGACTGCTATTGAAGCTGGAAAACCTTTATATTGCCAGACCCCTCTTAAAATGGATTAAGGATTTCCTAGAAAGTCGTAGACAGAAAGTAAGAATACATCCCAAGTGCTCCATCTGGGGACCAGTACTTAGTGAAGTACCTCAAGGTTCCGTCATAGGTTCTTTACTTTTAATGCTGCATATAAATGATCTCCCAAGTATAGTACAGTCTCTGGAGTTATTATACGCTGACGATGTAAACATTTGGCGAGTAATAACTGGAGCCACAGACGCATGTGCTCTTCAGGTACACTTAAATAATATGATAAACTGGTCTAAAGAGTGGCTGATGCCTATCAACGCGGAAAAGTGTGTCTACATACACTTGGGAGACTCAAAGGTTAATATGTACAACATAGGGGATGTGTCATTACCCGTAGTCCAGTCTCATAAGGATCTCGGGGTGACAGTGAGTAATGATCCTAAAACGACAGCCCATTGCGGGAGGTCGCAGCTAAGTGGTTTTGAACCCTCTGGGCTTTAAAAAGGACATTCACTAAGTTAGATACTACCATGTTCACCACAGTATACACACCCTTAGTGAGAACTAAGCTAGAGAACTGCGCTCAGACTGCAAGCCCCTGCTTAAAAGGTGAGTCGGACATACTAGAAAAAGTATAGAGGGCAGCTACCCGTGCAATGCCGGAACTCCGGGGTTTATCATACAAAGAGCGGCTTGAAAAACTGGACCTCTTTACTCTGTCCTATCGCAGACTATTGGGAGATCTAATTTTGATGTACAGAATACTGAGAAATGATTTCGGACCTAACTTATTCTTTATTTTTCATCCCATTAGATTGAGAAATCTCAGAGGATATTGCAGGCGAGTAGAAGAGCCAAGAACGAACAAAATACCCGTGTCATACAGGTTCCCACACTGAGTTATCAATACTTGGAATCTGTCACCCGAAGCAGTGATGTCCCTACTTTCAGTTGACTCATTCTAGAGAAGAGTGGACACCCACAGAAGCATACTAGAAAAGGAATAACATAGGCCGTAGGCCTTCTGTCCTTACTATACAAGTTCGAATCTGAACTCGGTGGAAAATCCAGACGTTCAAGTGATCGTAAACGAAACGGAAGAAACTTAAGCCTACAAAATTTCCATTTCTAGCGGCATTACTTCACCGACACCTTCAGAAAGGGACCTAGATATGTGAAACGAGCGGAAGAAAAGTATTAGTAAATTAGTATGATATGATGTTTATTGCCAATAATATATCACGCTCCCTTTTTGAAAGACTCGGGTGTTTCTTAGACTATATTAGCAGATAGCAACTTACAGGAATTCAGTGCTTGCGGTGAGTACAATTTGTGATTATAATTCAACTTACTGGTCGGTATACCTAGTTCGAGTGACTCGCCTTTTGATAAGCACTAGAGTTCTGTTATTTTTTTGTAAGGGAGGAGGGAACGATGTAGTACCGTACTTTTAATAGGATGAATGAGGCGGTTAGAAATTACATCGGAGGATGATTTCTATACAGTTAACCAAAAGTGCTTTCCGTGTTTACCATTGAAGTGCTTAACTTAAAGACACTCCTTGTCAAATTTGTCTTACGATTTAAGACCATTAGGTACGCGAACACCTAGATATTCAACTACTGATCCTTCATAAGGGAAACTACCTAATTTATATGTATAATTTGCTATATGTCTCAGACAGACTAATTCTAACCCATAGATACCCTAATGAACTGAAAAAATGCAAAAAATGAGCCGAATGAGGTATTACCGAAATGGAAAACTGTGTGCAGTTAACTGAAATACCATCTGAATTCATTGTCTTTATACTTGATGGGTTAGTACGAACGAATTAAATAAGAACTAGAACGTTTATGTTCCTAGA